ATCTTCACAAGGCGGCCTTCTTCAGTCCTCATCCCGCCTGGGGACTTGAGGACAACAAGCCTTCACCCCGTACCTGACTGGTTTTTGTGCCTTAGCTGTGCCTTTGGCTTCTCTGCGCCTCTGCTGATGCAGACGCTCTGCCGTTGATGTTTGCACCTTTGCTCCCATCTAGGGGACGCGTCCGCTGTGCCCTCTTCCTTTTGAGCTACTGTAGTCCCTGTTCTTCTCTCATGGTTCTTTCTGGAACCCTTTCCAACTGGGCTTGAGTATGCAGTCCTGCTCTAAAAAGGCGTTTAGTAAAATGACCAGTGATCTCCAAGATGCTAAACCCGGTGGTAGTCACTCAGCCTTGCTTGGACTTGGTCTTCCAGGACATACTTCTTTGGGATTGGCTCCTGCCTCTGCCACTGAGCCCAAGGGGCTTCTAATGCTGCTCCTCCGCCTCTGACCTCTTGATGGCTGAAACCCCAGGTCTCTTCCATCCACCCTCGTTTTTAAGATCTGCATGCTGGTGGCTCCCAGTGAGGACCCCACTCAGGTATTCCCCTGAAATCCAGACCTGTGCATCAGCCCCTTAGTTGGCCACCTTCTGGTGTCCAGTGGGCATTTCAGATGCAGCAGGCCAAAGCCCTGGCAGCTGGGAGCCACCTCGGCGTTTTTCACATCTGCAACTCACAACTTCATGTCTGGCTGGCATAGGCCAGAAGGCTTTGAAAGATCTTGTTCGTTCAGACCCTACATGAAGTCAGTCGCTCAGCAAATCCCACTCTTACACACGTGCGATGTCCAGAAGGTGACTGTCTCGAGACTGTGCCTTTTCTCTGCCTGTGTGACTGCCGCAGCCCCTAATGCAAGCCCAGCTTTGCTGCTTTTTTTTTTAAACCGAGTATAAACAGTGGCTTTCGTTGTGAGATGTCAAACATGCCGTCATTGTGCTCGGCTCCATTCACCTGCCACGACTCTTTGTTTACCCCAGCTCTGTCTTGCTCCCCTTCCCTCCAATCCCCTCCCTCCACTCCACATAGCCACCCTTTCCTGTCTCACATGTGTGTGCTGTATGTATAGATCCTGCACGTGAGGGAGTGTCTGCACTGTTGATCTTTCTGAGGCTGGCTTATTTCACCCAGTGGTCCAGGCGGACTGCTCTGAACTCTGTAAACCTCTAGGGGCTGGAGGGGTGCCTCAGTGGTTAAAAGTAGTTATTGTAACTCCAGCTCCGTGAGATCTGACACCTTCTTCTGCCCACCATGGACACCTGCACAAACATAGCCTACACTCACACGTGTACACGTAACTATATAAAGTATACGTACTATATAAGGGTGTGTGTGTGTCCAAGCATGATGGTACATGTCTATAATCCTAGCATGAGGCAGAAGCACAAAGATCAGTCAGTGCCCGCCAGCCTGGCCTACCGAGTGAGTATAAAAACAAACTCCTAACTCTCCTCTGCACACTTCACTCTTCCTAGCTGTCAAGTACAGGCCCAGAATGAATCTGTGTCACCTATGGGAGCAGAAGAGGCCCCCTCTATTACCTCCTTCCTGCCCTTAGTATCCACTCTTCCTGTACCCTCATCTGCACTCAGGCCGCCTTGCCTTCCTGCCTATTTCTGGTACTTGTGTGTGGTTCTGTATGATTGGCAGGTCCTTCCCTCAGGTATCCACTGGCCACAGTTACCTCCAGATCTCTGCTCAGAGACCATCCCATCACATTGTCTTTTTTTTTTTTTTTTTTAGACACAGTTAAACTATATATACCTATATCTAGCCTGGAACTCACTATGCAAACCAGGAATTCACAGAGATCCCCCTGCCTCAGCCAAGTGCTGAGATTAAAGGTGTGCACCACCACACCCACACCCAGCTACTTTAAAAAAAATTTTTTTTTAAATTTATTTTACGCATGTGTTTTACCTACGTGTGTGTGTGTGTGTGTGTGTGTGTGTGTGTGTGTGTGTGTGTGCGCGCGCGCACGCGCCACATGTGTACCTGGTAACAGTGGAAGTCAGAGGTCAGGGTTAGATCCCCTGGAACTGGACTTAGGAGCTGCCACGAGCATTTTCCTTTGTTTTCCATACACTGTTCCTTCTTGTTCCTCTGGATCTAGGACTGGCTTCTTAGACTCCTTTGTTTCCACCTACTCCAAGCTTGTTCGGCTCTCCTGGCTTCTTCCTAGTCCGTTTCCATGGGCTTCTGTTTCGCCAGTACGGCTTTATAGGTTTCCTGCTGCAGGATCCGCAAACTTCTTCAAATCAAGGTGTCTCTGGAATAGCCGGGGTTGATCCGCAGCTGCCGATGGCTTCCAGGCAGGCCCAGTGCGAGCTGGTAGAGCCTGCAAGACTTAACCTTCTCACCAACGCTGCTTGTCAGCTGTCACGTGTCACAGCTCTAATCAACTCCGGGGCAGGAATCCTCACATCTAACAGATGGATGTGAATTTAACCAGACAATAAACCATGTACGTGCCGTAAATATGTTTGCCAAGGGCATGGTTCCCAGTGTGGGCTTTTCTGCACAGCTGTCTTCCCTTGAACTCCAGTTTCTTGGTGAGATGATTTGTTAGCCTAACTCTGTAACAGCGTTTCAGAGAGCTAATGGGTCGTCGGCATCTCCATTCCCAGCAGCCTAATTATTGGGGGTAGGGAGAGAATAGTCTATCAACGCGAGTTACTGATATGAGATATTTTAAATGAGCTTGATGTGTTCCCAAACTGGGTGTCATTTGTCTCGAAGGGCGTAATAACCTTTCAGGCATGGCCAGCCACTTGCTCGCACACCCCTGGGGTACAGACCAGGGACTGTGTTTTCACCTTTTAGTATTTAAATTACTATCCAAACTATTACTGCAGTGCTTTTAGGGATGCAGATCTCTAAAACTACAATGCACAGGATCTAGAGAGATGGGTTGGAGGTCAAGAGCACTGGGTGCTGTCCTAGAGGACCATAGTTCAGTTTCCAGCACCTGTATTGTCTGCTCATAACTCCCTGGAACTCTAGCATCCAGAGGCCTGACACCCTCTGCCGGCTCTGCAGGTTTGTGCTTGTGGGTCCGTACACACACACACACACACACACACACACACACACACACACACACACACACACGAGAATCCAGTTCATCCGTCTGTCTGCTTCTTTCTGTCATTATTTTCAGACACGTTTTTATTCTTTCACCAAACACTGCTCTCCCCTCCAGGACCTATGCAAATTAAAATGGGGAGTATCTGTCCACTTTGCATTCTACAGAGGGTAACTTCGACGGATGTACATTTTCATTGGTGCAAACCACCAGCCAGAGTATAAATTGCTGTAGAACTGGGAAAGTGTTTGAGTGAAGCAGATGTTCTCTTAGCGTGAAGCAGATGTAAAACTTGCGAGTGTCTGTCTAATAAAGGATAGCATTTGGTTCGAGACAGCTGGTGCCAGGATTACCAATTAATCATGTTTGAATGCGTTTTTCACTAATTAGATCCCCCTTTGGTTTTTACTGTTCTGGGTGTAGTAAAGAAGGGGGAAGGGCGTAAAACCTTTCCACTTTTTACACTTTGAATAACCCCCATCTTTATAAGACTTTTTTTTTTTTTTTAATTCGTAGAATCCTATTGGAAATGAAGCCCAAAGATGTGAATGAATGACTGAGCTGGCTCCCTCACTGAAACTATAGGTTTGAAGTTAGGGTATTCTGGAAGGCAGTAGCTGGCATTGTGAACACTCAAACGCAGCTGGAAAAAAGAGGAGTGTAATTACACTTAATGTGGGTTTATTTTTGTTTTATTCTTTTGCATGGACAAAAGCTAGTATTTGCTCAGTTATCATCCATAGGCAGTCTCCACGGTTATCTGAGTGGGAGTTTGAACAGGACAGAAACATGGGGTACCAGTTTGGTTTTATATGCTCAAAAGCGATAGAGCATATGTTCACAAAGATGAAAGATGGCTAGGTTGGTGTCATTGTTGAGAAAGGTCACCTCTTAGCTGCACCACTATGGAAGCAGAGGAAGCGGGCTGGCCCCAGAGTCCTTTCCAGGAAGCAAGGGTGCCAAGGCTGATAGTTGTGGTTTTGTTCTGTTTTGCTTTTGCACTACAGGGATGGAACCCATGTGTAGGCCAGGCTAGTCCGCACTCTTGGGCTGCATCTACAGCAGTATTTGTTGTTGTTTGTCCTCTTTTTCAGGACACTGAGCCATCTCTCCAGCCCATAAGTGGTCTTTTAATAATGTTTATTACTCTTTGGAAAAATCATGGCAGGTAGGGATGAGCAAAGATGTGCTGGGGTGAGGATTTGTAGCAAGCAGTGTGAGTGTTTATGACCTCCCCGGCTACCTGAGGAGGTGGTGATGTGCATGATACCACTTTTTACACAGTGTGAGCTCAGCTCTAGGACCTGGCTTTTAGAACACTGAATAAAGGAGTCTGTAATGGCATAGACTGAAGCTTTTCAAATCACTTATAGACAAATGCATGTGGAATGTCTTCACCACTGAGTCGTCTCTCCAGCACTCTTGAGATTTAATAGTACTTGGTCCAGTTTGGAGTTTTGAGAGTTTTTGTTTGTTTGTTTTGTTATTGTTGTTTTTGTAGTTGTAATTTGTGTGAAACCATGAACTTCGATATACCCACTTAAATGGAACAAGTTCCGTCAGGTTTTAACAATGGTTTCTTACAAAATCACACTTAACAAAAGTAGAGAGAATAATGGGCACCCCTGGGCATCCAGCCTGTCTTCCAGCGTCAGCACCCTCAGCCTTCATTTGGTTGTTTTGAGGCAGGATCTCTCCGTATAGTCTCCTGACCAGACATGATCCCCTGTCTCAGCCTCCTGCTGCTGGGATTGCAGGCACTTGCCTCCATGCCTCCCTGTGTCAAGACTGCAGTGTTTGCAGGGTTTTCTTTTCTTTCCTAAGTTCTGTAGTTGTGCGTCTTGTTTCTATAGCAATGGTGGGTGTTTCAACAAAACTAGGTCAAGTAAATCCAGTAGTTCATTCTCACTTTGTTTCAGGAAGTAGAGCGAGAAATCTCATTCAGGACGGAATGTGGACTGTACTATTCATACTACAAGCAGATGCTGCAGGCGCCGACCCTCCTGCAAGGTAATCATAACTGCTGCAATCTGGGCGCTGTTACCTGCTTGCTCTGCTGTGGGTCAAGGCCTGCTCTGCACTGATGCATTGGGTGTGTGTGTGTGTGTGTGTGTGACAGAGACAGAGAGAGACACAAATGCCTGCATTTGTTTTTTGTTTTGTTTTGTTTTTTGAGGCAGAGTTTCTCTGTGTAGCCCTGGCTGTCCTCACTCTTTAGACCAGGCTGGCCTCAAACTCAGAAATCCACCTGCTTCTGCCTCCTCCAGTGCTGGGATAAAGGCGTACACCAACACACCTGGCTCATAATACTAAATGTGTGAATGTTTTGTGTACCATGTGTGTTCCTGGTGCCTGTGGAGGTCAGAAGACAGTACCGGGCTCCCTAGGACTAGAGTTAGAGACAGTTGTGAGCTGCCGTGTGAGTTCTGGAAATCAAACTGGGGTCCTCTAGACGACACCAGTGCTCTTAACTGCTGAACCATCTCTCCAGCTCCCATAGCTCCTGGTTTTATTTTATCAGACTGTAATCCCATTCAAGGTACCTCTGGAGCCAACCTGTTTTCTCAGCTTTCAAGGAGGGAAACAGAGGCAAAGGAGGCAGGTGATGTCCCGAGAAACACTGAGCAATGAAATTCCCACAGCTTCCAACACCTTCCACGTAGTCACCGTGGGGCACGAGAGGCAGCAATACAGTAGCCTGAATCTGTGTCTTGGATGTGCTGGCCCTTTCTTCTTGACAGTTTAGCTTAAGAGCTTTAATCTCCAACTCTGTCTTCATCATACTGGCTAATTCTGAAACTATTTTCAGCATCAAAGCCATACATCCTGATTTGGCAAGAGTCAGGGTCCCTCAAAATTTAAGTAACCTCTCAGGATGCTGAGGGCAAGTTTGGTATCGTGGAGCTGGGTCTTTGTCCCCTTGGTGCTGACTTAAGCCCAGGTCAGGGGTTCTCAAAACCAGCAGTTCCTCAGAATATACCTGTGACGGAAGCATGTTCTTAGGAGTGTCTGTCTCGTCGTGTGCAATAGCACTCCCTCTATCGGGAGCCGTCGGTGGGCGTGACATCAGGTGGATCTGTGTTTCTGCAAATCCCAGTCCGTGTGTACTCCTGCTACACGGCAAAAACAACCAACGCGGTTGACGGGCTGACACCGGATGAGCAATCCTGTGATGAGTCCTTTTGAGGAAGAAATTAGCTTTTAAAATTCTTTGTCAAATTTCATATGTGTATATAATGCATTTTGGTCATTTTTATCTCCCTCGTTATCCACTCTCATCCCCCTGCCTCCACTAAACCTTGTTTTCTTCCCAACGAGTTTCATTATGTGCTTTCACATCTTTTTAGGTTTGCTTCATTTTGTTTGTGACCACCGAGTTAAATCGAGGTTGCCTTCATAATCGTTTGTGGGTGGTGTTTACTGGAGCATGGGCAACTTCACAGTGGTTATACCATTGACGGAAATCAATCCGCCTGCCCCAGCAAACATTAACTGCCATAGCTTCTCAGGGCATGTGCGTGGGGTGGGAGGGGCTCTGGTTTTTAATGGCCCCTTCTCATTGTCTGAAAAGCCTCCACGCTGGTTTCCACACTGGCTGCCCCAGTTTACACGCCCACCAGCTGTAGAGGGGAGTTCTTCTTCTCTGCAAATCCTCTCCAGAATTTGCTGTCTTTTGTTTTCTTGATGATGGCCAGTCTGACCTGCATGAAGTCGAATCTCCAAGTCATTTTAATATGCATTTCCCTAATGGTTAAAGATGTTGAGCATTTTAAAAAAGATTTGTCAACTATTTGTGTTCTTCCTTTTGAAAATTTTGTTCGACAGTTTATAAACCCGTTTACTGGTTAGCAGTTTTGTTTTTATGGTGTTCAATTTCTGTAGTTCTTTATATATTCTAGCTATCCATCGTCTGTCTGAGGTGCAGCTGGTAGTTTTTTCCCCACTCTGTGGTCTTTTGTGTCTGCTCTGTGATGTGTTTCCTTTCCTGCACACAAGCTTTTTAAATTCATGCCATCACGTTTGTGAGTCTGGGGGCCATACTGTCGGGGTTCTGCTCAGAAGTTCTTATGTGTACCTATATTGTGACATGGTTTCCTCTAGCAGGTGTCATTGCAGGTTTGGGCTGGTTTTTTATTTTGTTTTTGTTTTTGTTTTTTGAGACAGGTTTCTCCGTGTACTCCTGGCTGTTGGGGAATTCACTGTGTAGACTCACAGAGATCCACCTGCCTCTGCCTCCCGAGTACTGGGATTAAAGGCGTGCGCCACCACTGCCGGCAACCTTTTTTTTCTCACACGTGTTTCTGATGTTTTTGTCAGATGTCAGGTTGCCATATTACATGGGTTTATTGTGGGTCCTTTGTTCTTTCCCATTGTTCTGCTTGTCCGTTTTTTGTCTCACTGTCATGCTGTCTGTCACTATGGCTCTACAATTTACTCCGAGGTCACTTATTTTGTCCACACTCTCAGCGTAATACTAAAGAGTTTATGCATCGTGTTGAATGAATGGAGAAGTATGGTGATCATTTTTTCTCTGATTTTTTCCCCCAAAATATCCTTAGGTTTTCATGGCCTAATCTATGACAATAAAACGGAATCCATGAGGACGATTAACCTCCTCCAACGAATGAATATTTACCAAGAAGTTTTCCTCAGTGTTTTGTATAGAGTCCTCCCCATACAGGTACGTTCGTTGCGTTCTTAGTGTCTGGTGACGGTCCTCACCTGCCGCTGGTCAGTGGAAGTCTCACTCATCTTCCGATTTCAGCTGGTTTTGCTTTGTTTTTTTAATCCTGTAAAATACTGTTACTTTAGTTTTACAAGTAGATGCTTCTGGCTTATCTCATAATATGCGTGCGGTCTCGAAGCTTCAGAAATAGTTCAGTTTGAAAATGTGTAACCATTCCAGACTAACCTGTTTCTCTGTGACTTAACTTTTTTTGGGAGAGGGGTTTCTCTGTGTAGCCCTGGCTGTCCTGGAACTCTCTCTGTAGCCCAGGCTGGCCTCGAACTCACAGAGATCCACCTGCTTCTGCTTCCCGAGTGCTGGGATTAAAAGCATGCGCCACCACCACCCTGCTCTATGACTTACCTTTATGATTAAATAAACACATAAAATTATCAGATCACAATGGCCACTTCCCCGTGAATGAGGCAGAATGAGACAGAGTTTGGTGTTGGTTTGTCTGGAGGCCTCCCTTGCATCTGCTCTTGAGAGTTTGAAGAAAGACAGTCTCCTGGCACGTGGAAGGTGATGGTGACCCTGCTGCAGGCTTGGCAGGCTTAGGCTAGGCGTTACCTTTCTGTGCACACATGTCTTGGAGGATTTCTTTTGTTTTGGATTTGTGGGCTTTGTGTGTCTGGGTAGAGGTTTGTACATGTGAGTACAGGTACATACAGAGACCAGAGGCTTTAGAATCTCCAGGGACTGGAGTTACAGGCGGCTATGAGCTGCCTAGTGTGGATGCTGGGAACTGAACTTGGGTCCTCTACAAGAGTGGTATGCACTCTTCAACACTGAGCCAGCTCCATAGTCCCCTCTCTGGACATGTTTTTTAAATGCCAGTAAGGAAGGTTAGGACTTCTATGATAAACTTTCATAGTTTGGGGAATGAACCAAGGGCCTGGCACACCCAAGTGTGGTATTTAAGTGAGCATGGCCCTCATAGACTCATATATTTGAATGCTTGGTCCCCCACTTGCTGGAACTGTTTGGGAAGGATTAGGAGGTGTGGCCTTGTTGGAGTGGGTGTGTATTGGATGGGGGAGGGGTTCAAAGCCGACACCTTTCCCAGTTAGCTCTCTCTTTACCTCCTTCCTGTGGATCAAGATGTAAGCTCTCAGGTACTACTCCAGCCTGCCTGTCTGCCACCATGCTCCCACCGTGATGGTCATGGACTCGCCCTCTGAAACTGCCCCCATCAACTCTTCTATATGTTGCCATGGTCACCATGTCTCTTCTCAGCAAGAGAACAGTAACTAAGACACTAGGCAAATGAGCTACCGCTGAGTTACCTCCCAGGCCCTGATGAACAGTTCTTATTGTTACCTTTTACAGAAATATCTAGAACCTGTTTATTTTTATATCTACACTCTTTTCGGGCTCCAAGCAGTCTACGTCACAGCCCTTTATATAACCAGCTGGCTTCTCAGTGGCACCTGGCTGTCAGGACTGTTGGCAGCTCTGTGGTACGTCACCAACAGGTGAGTCAGGTCAGCTTGCTCTTCTTCTTTTCCCGGTTTTGAGTGAGGATGAAGGAGGACTGTAAATAGTGTGGTTGGTGAGCCGAAGCACGGTGTTCCATACTTCTTGGGTTGAGAGTGGTTTCTTGTTTAGCCCCGTTCAGAAGTTTTCCCCCTGAGAAGTACCACATCACAGCCTCATCTGTTACAATCCCACTGTCATTTCCAGCTTGCGCTGTGGTCAGTATTTCTTTAGAAACACACCTCATCTCTAAACAGTTAGGTGATGGCAGAGGTGTGTGAATGTTTGTGTGTGAGAGAGGGTGTATGAGTGTTGTGTGAGAGGAGTGTGGGTGTATGTGTGAGTGTGTGTGTGAGTGAATGTGTGTATGTGAGAGGTGTGTATGTGTGTATGTGAGTATATGTGAGAGTGTAGGTGTGAGAGTATGTATATGTGAGTGTGTGTGTATGTGTGAGAGTGTATATGTATGAGTGAGTGTATGTGTATATGAGTGTGTGTGTGTGTGTGTGTGTGTGTGTGTGTAACCATGGCATTGTATATGCCCTGCAGGCATTCTACTATTAAACTCACTTTGTAGTTTTCAGATTTTGTGACAGGGTCTCACTGTATTACCAGGCTGTCTTTGAACTCACTCCGTAGCTCAGGCAGGGTTTGAATTCCGATCTCCTGCCTCTGCTTTCCTAGCTGCTGCAGTCAGAGGCTTCCCCATCACACCCGGGTTCCCTGTCCATCATAATAGGATTTGTAGCAAAAAACTCAGTGCTGTGTGCATGCAATTCTGTTGTTATTATTATTGATGTATATTTTCATATTAATTTGTAAATGTGGGAGCCTTATGAAATATCAGTTTAAAACCTATTCAAGATTATTGGCTGGGTATGGTAGCTTATGCCTTGTAATCCTAGCACTCAGGAGGCTGAGGAAGGGGGATCACCACAAGTATGAGAGCAGCCTGAACTATATAGCAAGTAACCAGCCCATCTGGGCTACAGAATGAAACCCTGGTCTTGAAAAAAGACTTACTGGATTGTTGCCCATCTTACAGTAGCAGCAGCAATAGTTAGTAAGGCCCCTAAAGTTTTAAAATGAATTCTAATATAGATTTTTCACATTTTATGTATTTAAGTGTGTGCACCATGCTTGTTCCTGTTACCTGTGAAGTCCAGAAGAGGGCATCAGATCCTCGGAAACTAGAGTCAGAGAAAGTTGTGAGCTGTCATGTGGGTGCTGTGACCTAAAGCTGGGTTCTCTGCAAGAGCAGCTGGTGCTCTTAACCTTTGAACCATCTCTCTAGCCTTCCCAAAATTATTTTTATTACAAGTCTAGTGAATGCTTATAATGTGCTCAGCACTTTACAAAATCTATTCTTTTAACAACCATATTAGGGACTGGGTTTGGTAGTATATCAGATATAGAGGCAGGCAGATCTTTGTGAGTTCAAGGCCAGCCTGGTCTATGTAGTGAGTTCCAGGGCAGCCAGGGCTACACAGAGAGACCCTGTCTCAAAACAAAACAACAGCAACCCCACTTGATAGGTACTGTGACCTCCGTTTTAGAGGTATGGACCTTGAGACTCAGAAGGGGGTCATCTGTGCTCACACACACTGAAGGGCACTGCTGTTCTTTGTAGTCGTCATCAATTGTCTGTGCATGTGTGTGTCTCAGTACTGATTACACAAGTATGTGAGTATGTGAGTGTGTGTGTGTCAGTACTGATTACACAAGTGTGTGCATATGTGTGTCAGTACTGATTACACAAGTGTGTGTGTTGGTACTGCTTACACAAGTGTGTACGTGTGTCTCAGTACTAATTACACAAGTGTGTACGTGTGTGTCAGTACTGATTACAGAAGTCTGTGCATGTGTATGTCTTGGTACTGATTACAGAAGTCTGTGCATGAGTGTGTCTGGTACTGATTACACAAAGGTGAAAGCTCACCTCTTCTTGTCCTCTGGAGGGTGGCATTCTGTTGGGGTAAGCCATTTGAAAGGTTACCGCCATCAGCACGTTTCAGTGTCAGATACAAAGCGCTAAGGAAAATAAGGTCTTGAGGTCTGGAGAGATGGCTTGGCGCTGGCTGCTCTGGCAGAGGGCCCAGGTTTGGTTCTCAGCACCCACACGGTGGCTCACTACCACCTGTAGCTCCAGTTCTAGGGGATCTGATGCCGCCTTCTGGCCACTGCTGGCAAAACACTCAGATACATAAAATAAAAATCTTTAAAAGAAAAAGCAAAGAAGAGAAAACGTTGCCTTCAGCATCTAGAGAAAAGTATGAGGGGCAGTTTGGCGTGGGCCCTCGGCGACCTCAGTACCCTCGCTAACACTGGCTTGAGCTCTGATCCCAGCACTTAGCCAACGAGGAACCCAAGGGATTTCATGTCCTGGGGGTCACAGTGATGAAGATGGTGATGACAGTGGCCATTGAGAGGAATCATTACAAGAACTGTTAGTCTGGTTGTCTATGTTCTCTCCCTACAGAACAGATACCACGAGAGTTGAGTTTACCATCCCGCTGAGGGAGAACTGGGCTCTGCCTTTCTTTGCAATTCAGATTGCGGCAGTTACCTACTTTCTGAGACCAAACTTACAGCCTCTGTCTGAAGTAAGTTTCAAGAACACTTTACTTGTGTGTGTGTGTATGTGTGTGAGAGTGTATGTGTGTGAATGTGTCTGAGTGTGAGTTTGTGTGAGTGTGTGAATGTATGTGTGTATAAAGTGTGAGTGTGTATGCATGTGTGTGAGTGTATGTGAATGAATGTCTATGTGTGTGTGAATGAATGTATGTATGTGTGTATGAGTGTGTGTGAGTGTGTTTATGTATATGAATGAATGTGTCTGAGTGTGTGTGTGTGTGTGTGAGAGAGTGTGTGCGTGTGTGTGTGTGTGTCTGTCTGTCTGTCCAGGTGTATCTGTCTCTGGGTTTGTGAGGGGCCACAGCACTTGTGGAGGTCAGAGGAAAACTCAGGGGAATCATTTCTCCTCCCACCACGGTGTAAGTTCCCGGGATTAAACTGGGGTCCAGTGTCTCTGTCCACCTAGGTATTTTGCCAGCCCGGAGTTCCTAGAGTACTTTTTAATCCCCTGGTTTTGTCTGAGAAGCAGGATGCTGCAGTTCTCAGGGGTAGCTCTCATTCTGTGACCAAATTTATGATTTCTAAAGTATGTGTGCAGGGATGTATTTGGTGGGGGTACAGGCACTTGGGTTCTGGTGCCTTGGAAGCCACAGAAGGGCATCGATCTCCTCAAGCTGGAGTTACAGTTGTGAGCAGCCCCAAGTAGGTGTTGGAAACCAACCTCAGGTCCTCTGCAGGAGCAGCAAGCTCTCTCCACTGCTGGACCATATCTTCCCTTCCAGTTAAGCTCTCTTCCTCTGAGCATTTTCCTCCTTTGCAAAGAAAATGTTTTCAAGTTTAAAATGTCCTCTTTACAATCTACCCTCAAGTAGTTGTAGGAAGCCCACACACAGTTCTGTGAAACTGTCAGAATTTCTGAGCCATTGCTCTTGAGATGTGCTTTGGTATATTACGGCCTCTAGATCAGCGTGGAATGCACATACCATATGTGAATATTTATATGAGAATGTCACTTCGGGGTATTTAGAGCTTAAATAACAAATGCAAGGGTTTTCAAAGCAGCAGTGTGTGCTTTCTCTACTTTTATTTGGTGTATAGGGATATAGGCTACTCCTAAGAAAACTTAACTGTGAGATTTTTTCATGACTGGAGACATGTAAATTACTCCAAGCTTTCCCCTTCTTTCCACAGAAGCTGACACTTCTTGCCATTTTCATGTCAACTTTTCTCTTTAGCCTGGCATGGCAGTTTAACCAGTTCATGATGCTGCTGCAAGCGCTGGTGCTGTTCATCCTGGACTCCTTGGACATGCTACCGGCCGTGAAGGTGAGCACCGCCTACCTCCATCTTCTCGATGGGCACTGATGGGATGGGAACTGGTGCAGACGTGTGATGGAACTCTTATGCAGATCTGTGTGGTTATGCTGTGCTCACCTGAAGCTCAGTACTGTGTGCAGCCCAGTTTGACAGTCACAGCGTTGTTTGGTGTGTGTGAGATTTATTTACTTTTTTTGTTTTATGTGTATCAATGTTTTCCCTGCATATAAGTATGTGGGCCACATGTGTGCATGCAGTACCCACAGAGGCCAGAAGAGGGTGTTGGATGCACCTGGAACTGGAGTTATAGATGTTGTTAGCCATCCTGTAGGTGCTGGGAATTGAACTTGGGTCCTCTGTAAGGGTAGTTAGTACTCTTAACCACTGAGACATTTCTCCAGCCCCTCAACATTTTTTTCAAGTTAAATAGTGCCTCTAGACACTAGAGGGATAGCTCAGTAGTTTTGAGCACCTACTGCTCTTGCAGAGGATCGGGGTTCAATTCCCCACAATCACATAGCAGCTCATGTGGAGTTACATTCCTTTAAATCCAACTCCAGGAGATCTGATGCCCTCTTCTGGCCTCTATGGGTACTGTGTGCATGTGGTGCACATAAACTCATGCAGGCAAAAAATATAAATAAATTATTTGAAAGTACGTCTATCAAGGCACAGGTATCTCAGTCAGTTGCCATTTATAAACATGACTTACAATTTAAAATACAGTGTAGCTCTTAAAATTTCTTAATATATAGTACCTATTTTTTAGTATAAAACTCAATTGGACATATAATCCTTTTGGAGGTGTTTTGATTTCATTTTTTAAAAAATATTTACTTTTACTTTATATATATGAGTGTTTTGCTTGCATGTATATGTGTACATCGTGCATGCCTGGTACCCACAGAGGCCAGATGGGGCTCCAGATCCCCTATAATTGAAGCTGTGGATGGTTATGTGCTGACAAATGAGTGCTGAGGACCAAACCTGAGTCCTCTGCACGAGCGGCAAATGATCTTAACTGCCGAGCCATCTGGAGACAAGGTCTTACTCTGGGCTGGTCTGGGGCCTCCAGCAGTCCTCTGGCCTCGGCCTTCTAAGTGCGGGGTTACAGATAGGAGCCACCATTCCAGACTGGGTAGTTGTTTTATTCCATAATATTTTATAAAATTTTCATAGTCACATCCTCCCAGTACATAGAATGTGTGCTCTTGCTGACTGGTCAAACTCTGCAGATAAAATAGCCAAAGCTGCCGGGCGGTGGTGGCGCACGCCTTTAATCCCAGCACTCGGGAGGCAGAGCCAGGCGGATCTCTGTGAGTTCGAGGCCAGCCTGGGCTACCAAGTGAGTTCCAGGACAGGCGCAAACCCTGTCTCAAAAAACCAAAAAAAAAAAAAAAAAAAAATAGCCAAAGCTATCTCTGCCTGCTAGTGTGTGTGCTGTCCTTTAACCATGGTTTGACATATCATAATTGATTGACTGTTCTTCCCTCACAAGTACATACCTGTTCACAGATACATACTTAGAGATACGCATGCCCGTTCACAGATACATACTTAGAGATATACATACCCGTTCATAGATATATACTTAGAGATAGACATACCCGTTCATAGATACATACTTAGAGACATAATCTTAAAAAAATAAAATCTTGCCAGGTGGTGGTGGTGCACACCTTTAATCCCAGCACTCGAGAGGCAGAGGCAGGGGCAGGTGCATCTCTGTGAGTTCAAGGCCAGCCTGGTCTACAGAGTGAGTTCCAGGACAGCCAGGGCAACACAGTGAAACACTGTCTTGACAAACCAAAATAAATAAAATAATAAAAATTTTAAAAAGAGAGTTAGGGGACCAGAGAGATGGCTCAGCAGTTAAGAATGCTTACCTGTTTGCAGAGGACCCCAGGTTCAGTTCCCAGCACCCACTGGCAGCTCATAACTTACAGGGAGTTGGACAGCGTCTTCTAACCTCCACAGGCCTCTGCGTGTACCTACATTCAGGTCCTTACACATACCTGTAAGATATAGTCTTTTGCCGGGCGGTGGTAGCCCATGCTTTTAATCCCAGCACTCAGGAGGTAACCTGAGTGGATCTCTGTGAGTTCGAGGCCAGCCTGGTCTACAGCGCGAGATCTAGGACAGGCACCAAAACTACACAGAGAAACCCTGTCTCGAAAAAAACAAAACAAAAAACAAAAAAAACAAAACAAGAAAAAGATATAGTCTTTTGAAAGCCAGAGGCTGAGTGCAGACAAGGTAGAATGCACACACTTCTTGTTCCTGTTCCAAGAGCAATGTAAAGCCCTGGGCATGTACACAGAGCAAATGATTGACCATAGAGTTAAAAACGGAGATGACCAGTGTGATGGTTTGAATGAAAATGGCCCCACCCGTAGGCTTATAGGAAGTTGCACTATTAGGAGGTGTGGCCTTGTTGGAGGAAGTGTATCACCGAGGCTTTGAGGTTTCAAATGCTCGAGCCAGGCCGTGTCACTCTCTCCCTGCTGCCTGCTGATCCAGATGGAAAACTCTTGGCTGCTTCTGCAGCACCATGTCTGTCTGCACACAGCCATGCTTCCTGACCATGATGATAATGGACTGAACCTCTGAACTGTAAGCCCGCCTTAATTAAATGTTTTCCTTGTAAGAGTTGCTATCTTCATGGTATCTCTTCACAGCAACAGAAACCCTAACTAAGACAACTAGAAACTTCCAGACCAGAAGGAAAATGTAGCAATGAGTCACCTGTGTTTCCTTTTTCCTTCACAGATCCCTGAGTAGACACTTGAAAAATCAGAAACCCAGAAATAGCAGTAGATTCAGACAGAAAAGCACAAGAAAACCCTCTCTGCAGCAGAGGACCAGAAAGGAGAAAACTTAGCAAGACAACAGAAAAACTAACAGCTCATGGCGGCCAACGCGTTCCAAACCGTGCAGCCCCACTCCCACCTCTGCCGGCAGCTGCTGGTGGCAGTGCCTGGATTTCTGCCCTCGCCCGGCTCTACTGAAGCACGTCTGCTTCCTGTCAGGGCAATGTCAGGAAATCTGGAGTTTCCACCATCTCCCATAGGCCACATGGGGAGCCTGACTTCAGCCCCCACTTAGCTGTGATGGCATCCTTTCCCTCCCTGCCAGCAGAGTATCCACTGCCAAGGTCGGAACACTAAGAAACTTCATAGTCAGAAAAACACCTGATACCCAGTGCTCGCCCTAAAGGGACCCCGTCTCAATCCCCTTCTCCCAAAAGAGGGCAGAAAGAATGTAAGTGCGGGAGGATGGGCAGGAGGACTGTGAGACATGGCATGTCCACCTCACCATGAACTCACCGCAGCTGTGGCTCCCTGCACTAGATGAATTGGCAGCCCAGCAAGCAGCACACATTTCACTCAGTGGAGAGGACATGAAGAGGAAGGGAGATGTTAAGAGTGCCTGGGGTTCGGGGAGGAAGGAGCTGGAGTGCATACAGTCAGGCTCATACACATAAATTAAAAAAAAAAAAATTAAAGCAGGTATACCCACATCATGTAGCTGTGTCAAAATGGCCTGTAGTGAAACATTGTGATCGTAGTGACTTTTCCTACTGCAGGGACAGAACAAGTTAAGAATAAAAGGTTTGTTTTGTTCCACGTCTGCAGAGAGATTGCCGTCTATCTTGGTGAAGACATGGTGATGGGATGGGTTGGTTCTGTGGTGTCCAGAGCACAAGGCAGCATTAGAGTCAGCAGGCAGGGAGCAGAATTGAGGATCAGAGCCAGAGCTCTGCATAGCTGCGAAGGCCTGATGCCAGTGACCGCCTTCCATGTCTGGACCTCATCTCCCAGAGACTCAGCTCATTGACCTGTCAGCTATGGTTGCCTGCACAAGACCTACAAAAGATCAAACCAGCTGAAATCCTGGCCTCAACCCCCACCCTCAGTGGCCGCAGGCAGTGGATAGTTACTAAGGGAGGGAGAGTCATTCTTTACTGAGGAAGTGGCCCTGGTAGGTCTTGCACACTGTGATGGATATCTCACACCCACACACCTATGAGCAGTACTAACTGGTTAGTGGGCTGTCAAAAGAAAAAATTGCTGGGTGGTGGTGGCGCATGCCTTTAATCGCAGCACTCAGGAGGCAGAGCCAGGTGGATCTCTGTGAGTTCGAGACCAGCCTGGTCTACAAGCAAGATCCAGGACAGGCACCAAAATCTACACAGAGAAATCCTGTCTTGAAAAACCAAAAAGGAAAAAAATTAAAAAGACCTGAATTTGGGAGGGAGCATATTGGGGGACATAAGATAGAAACAGGCTAGATATACTCATATTCACTGTATACATGTATGTAATTCTCCCCTCCCCTTACAAACAGAAGCCTCTGTGGGGTACATTTCAGAATCAGATCTACACAGTTATGCAGTGTTCTGAAGTTTAAGTTTTCACAGAATAGTCATTGACGTGCGAAGATTGTACACAGTGTGGAGTGTGTGGTTTGTATGAGATGGGCGGTGCCGTCTGAACCTCCATTACCTCTCAGTAATGGCGTTGGGTTTTAACTCTTGACTCTGCCTTCCTGTCAGTTACTCTTCCGTTTCCTGTTTTTCTGTGTACAGTAAGGTGTATTGTAATCCTGAAAACCACTAGCATCCTCTGCCCTGTGTTCCTGGGAACACCAGGCATCGACAGAGCTCGGGGCCTCTTCTCCATGTGTGAAGCAGATTAGTTTCCTTTGAGTTTTAAAAGCGTGAACCGTTAGGGAAGTCAGGTCTGCTGAACAAAACTGTTATTTTCCATAGGTCTGTCTGTGTGAGTATGAAATTGAAAAACTATCAACTTGCTTTGAAAAAGATTTACTTATTTTTTTCTACATGTGTAAGTGTTTGCCTGTGTGTATGTATGTGTACCACATGCATGCAGTGCCCACAGAGGTAAGAAGAGGGTGTTGGACCCCTGGAGCTGGAGTTACAGGCAGTTGTGAGCTGTCATGTGGGTGTTCAGACTTAACTGGGGATGAATACAAACTAAATGAAGTCATGCATGACACGGTCCTGACGTGGATGGTCTGGAAAGTAATGGGAAGAGATGAAGTCCTGACTGTTGGTTGTAGATACTCATTATAAAAAGAATTGGAAAGAAAACTGGAAATTATGAATCACATTTTGTCATTTCCCCAAGTAACATTTACCCCTTTGTTTCCCTTTTCATTAATGTCACAAAATTTAAAATGTTCTGTTATTGGGCTGGAGAGATGGCTCAGTGGTTCACGAGTACCCTGCACCCACATCCGGTGGCTCACAACCACATGTAACTCCAGCTCCAAGGGATCTGATGCCCTCTTCTGGCCTCTGGAGGCACTGCATACACACATGGTCAAATTCATGTGAACACACACAATTAAATAAAAATCTTTAAAACGTTCTCTGTCAGTAAAAGTCAAAAACAAGTGAAATTCAAACAACGTTGTGTCCTTTTATAGATGATGTTTCTTGGAGCTAGGTACATGTTCTGCATTGCTTGTAACCTGAAATGTGACCACTGTGTCACCGTGGCTTGGTCTCCTGATGAAATCTCCCTGGTGTCATCTTTGTTGCAGGTCACCTGGCTGTACGGCATACAGATAAGCTGCTTGCTCCTCGTCTGCATGCTTCAGTTTTTTAACTCCATGATTCTGGGATCGCTACTCATCAGTTTTAACCTTTCGGTATTAATTGTAAGAAAACTTCAGGTAGGACTTTTTAAATTTTTATAAACTGTATTTATTTTAAAAAGATTTTCATTTTGAGCCCTGCGTGTGTTTTGTGAATGTGCACATGAGTGCAATTCCTATGGAGGACACAAGAGGGCACTAGATCCCCTAGACCTGGAGTTACATGCTGTTGTGAGCTGCCTACACTGGGTGCTGGGAACCAAACTGGGGTCCTCGGCAAAAGCAGTACACACTCTTAACTGCTGAGCCATCTCTCCAGCCCTATAAAATCTATTTTTGATTGTGTGGCTCTCTAGGCCTTATTTGCAGGGTCAGTGCTAGGTAAGATCATTGATGACTTCCCTGCCCCCAACCCACCCACCTAGTATCCTGCATAGCACCTTCCTGCACCGTGAAAGCTGACCTGCTGAGAGGGCGTCTCCCAGTCAGTTCCAGTTTGGTTTCTCCACAACCCCTGTGTTCACCATGTAGGGCCGTAAGGTCTGTTACAGTGGGCAGCCAAGAATTTGTGTTTTCTTAGGGTCTGCTGGGGCCTTCCTGTCCAGCAACTCATAGGGAGGTCTTCATGTGTTCCCACCAGGGTTTTCATTTAACAACCTGTGTCTTCTAGGGCCAGCTTGTTCACCCATGCAGACAACCTCTGCTCCATCTCCTTTCTTTAGTTACATCTTTTTTTTTTTTTTTTTTTTTTTTTTTTTTTTTTTTTTTTTGGTTTTTCGAGACAGGGTTTCTCTGTGTAGCTTTGCGCCTTTCCTGGAACTCACTTGGTAGTCCAGGCTGGCCTCGAACTCACAGAGATCCGCCTGGCTCTGCCTCCCGAGTGCTGGGATTAAAGGCGTGCGCCACCACCGCCCGGCTAGTTACATCTTTAAATTACCTTACAGACTAGTAGGTTCCACGAGGCTTTTTCATGCATTCTTGGTGTCACCTCACCAGCCCCCCCACCTTTTCACCCTCTTCCCTGCTTTGACTTTAACCACCGATATCCCCCTTTTCACGACACATGTAAAGTTACTAAACTAAAGACCCCATGAATAGGTTTTGTCTCCACGTGTATGTGTGTTACATGAGCCAACATTTTAAATCTTTGAATAATCTCACGTGATTATGAAGTTATAGTTAACATTAAAGTATATTTAAATGTTCATTAAAAATTAAAACACAGTTCTTTCATTTTCTAGAAAAACCTAAAAACTGGGACCTTCCTGACTAGGATTGGAAAACTATTGTTGCATTTACTTCTAGTTTTCTGTTTGACACTTTTTCTTAACAACGTTATTAAGGTAAGTTAATAAGTGAGATTGAATCCTTTCTGAAATGTATTTATGGGATTGAAGATAAGCTTAGAACTTTCAGTTAGAAGTAGTTCTTTTTGTAAAGCGTACTTGAATCCCTGAGTCAGGATTGATTGACCCAGCAAGGGCCACGCTTGGTTTTGTTGGTTTTGATTATTCATTTCTCTTCCCTTTCATGACACATCCTGTCGCTATGACAAAGCAGTTCAGAGAAGAGTTTCTTAGGGCCTGTGGCTCCAGAGGCTTAGAGTCCGTGATGGTGAGCCGAGCAGGTTGAGAGCTCACATCCTGAACTGTAAGCAGGAAACAGAGAGATCAAACTGGGAGTGGGGTGAGGCCTTACACTCTCAAAGCCCACCCCAGTGACATCGCACTTCTTCCAGCAAGACTGCACCTCCTGAGCCTCCTCAGACCGTGCCGCCAACTAAGGACCAAGGGTTTAAGTGCCCGAGACTATGGAGGACATATCATCCAAATCACTGTGAATGCTATCTGTCTTAGTTAGGGTTCCTGTTGTCGTGAAACTCCGTGACCAAAGGCAAACTGGGGAGGAAAGGGTCTATTTTCCTTTCACATCCCCAGTCACAGTCCATAGTCCACTGAGAGAAGCCAGGGAAGGAACTCAAACTGGACAGGAACCTGGAGGCATGAATTGGAGCAGAGGCCCTAGAGGGTGCTGCTTACTGACTTGCTCCCCATGACTTGCAGTCTGCTTTCTTAACAGAACCCAAGACCACCAGCTCAGGGATGGCCCTACCCATGGTGGGCTGGGCCCTCCCCCATCGATCATTAATTAAGAAAATGCCCCACAGATTTGCCTATAGTCCGATATTATGGAAACATTTTCTCAATTGAGGCTCCCTTCTCTCCTAAAACTAGCCAGCAGAGTGTCTGTCCTTGAGCTCATCAGATTGAAGGCTCAACTTTAAAAACATTAACTATTTTCTATGAGCTCCATGGTATTTTTTAAATGATCATTTTCTATTTGTTTTGTTTGGGAGGTTTTTGAGATGGTGTAACCTAGCTGGCCTTGAACTCCGCATCCCACTGCCTCAGCCACCTCTGTGCTGGGACTCCAGGTGTGCACTACCATGCCCCACAAGGTGGGCTTTATTGGGATTTTTTTTTTTTTTTTGTTCAAAAGAAGATGTGAGTTCATTTTTGCTAAGTTAAAATGAACAACCCGAGGCTGGGATGCCATTGTGGGCATGTATGAACTAAGCATGTACAGAGCCCTGAGTTCTATTTCCACCACCAAAATAAATTAAAAAAATAACTAGATAGTAGAATAACTCATTTAGTAACCTGGTCACTGTGCAGAATAGGCTACAATTCACAGAGCTCTGCTGACTGCCTGCCGAATGCTGATATTAAAGGTGAGCACCATCATGCCTGCCTTTACTAGGATTTTTGATTGAGTGTTCTGTGGCATAGCTTTGTTTACTGCTTGTCTAAGGGCAGGCTTTCCCTCAGGGTATACCTCTTGGACCTTGGTGCCCCGTTGGTTTTCGTTTTTAATTTTATTATTTTTACTTTATGTATATGGGTGTTTTGCCTGCATGTGTGTCCGTGCACTCATGTGTGTCTGGTGCTCCAGGATGAGGCATCAGGTCCACTGAGCCAGAGTTCCAGATGGTTGTGAGCCACCATGTGGGTGCTGGGAGTCAAACCTGGGTCCTCTGCGTGAGCAAACAGTGCTCTTAACTGCTGAGCTGCCTTCCCGAGCTCCCACCTGTCTTTAACTAGTGCAAAGGGCTTGTGATTTCATCAGACATTCTTGCACCCCACTCCCCTCTTCTCAAAGGCTGGTCTAGCAGAAGAGACACCTGTAACCATCTTCCTTCCCCTCAGAGGAGTACAGCAGTCTCTTTCTTCTCCCTGTTGACTGTCAAAAAGGAAAAAAAAAAATTAGTCAGTGAACCACAATGATCATGCCACTTTTCTATTTTGTTTTGGTTTGGTTTGTTTTGGTTTTGGGTTTTCCAGACAGGGTCTCTCTGTCTAGCCACAGTTTGTCCTGGAACTAACTTGCTCTGTAGACCAGGCTGGCCTCGAACTCACAGAAATCCACCTTTCTCTGCCTCCCAAGTGCTGGGATTAAAGGTGTGTGCCACCACTGCCTGGCTGCCACTATGTTCTGAAACTCTGTATCATACCCACAGTTTCCTAATTGGAGGACTCAAAATTATTCAGAAAAGGAGCCAGAGAGATGGCTCAGTTGGTAAAGTGTTTACCACCCAAGCACAAAGACCTCAGTTCAGATCTCAGGTCCCATAGGAAAGACTGGGCATGGTAGCATGTGTCTGTAATCCCAGTGCCCAGGAGGCAGACAGGCATATCCCTGGAACTCACTGGTCAGCCAGTCTACCAGAATCAGTGGGTTCCAGGGTCATTGAGAGGTCCTGTCTCAAATATTAAGGTGAAAGAAGACGCCTGACATTAACATCTGGCCTTCACACACACACACACATGTGCACTGCACACATACACACACAAACAGAAAATGTGCCTATACTGAACATGTATAGATTTTTGTCTTACATTTCCTAAATAATACAGTACAGCAGCCACTTATATGGCATTTCTTTTATATTTGATATTGTAAGTAATCTAGAGTTGGTTTCAGGTCCACAGAAAGACAAGCATGGTGGTGGTGCATTCCTGTAATCCTGCACTTAGGAGACTGAGGCAGGAGGTTCCTGAGTTCAAGGCCAGCCTGTGCAGCTAGCAGTGTGGTAGACTGCTTGCTTATTAGCATGTGCAAAGGCCCTAAGTCCAATACCTCGAACTGCCCCCTCCCCCCAAAAAAAAGAGCGCAGAAGAACGTCTGTATGCAAATACTGCATTGAAGATTGGACTATGAAGGATTCCCTAAACCATTGTCTGTGATAATAGCAAGGATTGACTGCGCTCACTCGAAGCTTACATGTGCAAGGCTCCTCCACATTCCCGCTTGGCAGACTTAGTGATCCGTCCGCTCTTTGATTTAACCAGTAGAGACCTCTGAGCCTAGACTTCTGTTTTTTTGACACTCCAAAGGATAAGAGTCTATTGATCGACCCTCGCTGAGTGTTTCAGCAGAGACCTACAACAGCAAATTAGAAAAAGCAGTCTGGGGCTGGAGAGATGGTTCAGCCATTAAAGGCTAGGCTCACAACCAAAAATATAAGAGAAAAAGCAGTTTGTGAAACTCCTTGCACTTAGTGGACCCACAGGAAGCATCTCCCTTGCTCCAAGTAGTTGGAGTTGCTGCTCAGGGGCACAAGCCACATTTTTGCCTCATTGTTAATGAATATATTTTGTTTTCTCAATTGTGACTTCATCTTATTTTTTTTCTGCCTTTCTTTATCTGATATGATTTTCCCCATTTTTGTCTTTAAGATTTTATTTTTGCTGGGTGGTGGTGGTGCACCCCTTTAATCCCAGCACTTGGGAAGCAGAGGCAGGTGGATCTCTGTGAGTTTGAGGCCAGCCTGGTCTACAAAGCGAGTTCCAAGACAGCCAGGGCTACACAGAGGAGCCCTGTCTCAAAAAAAAACTTATTTTTGTTGTTTTTAATGATGCATATGTGGGGAGCCGGGATTGTCCATGTGAGTGCGGTGCCTATGGAGGCCAGAAGAGGGCATCAGATCCCCTGAAGTTGGGGTTACACACAGTTCTGAGCTGCTTTACTGGGGTGCTTAGAACCCCGCTCAGGTCCTCTGCAAGAGCGGGACAGGCTCTTAACCACCTGAGCCGCCTGTTTGTGTTATGTGGGTTTTTATAATTCGTAAATAAAAAGTAAGATTACAGAAATTAAGATTACAGTATGTAATGGTGAACGCTGGAATTGGGGTCATCTACACCTTAGGGTCACGTCTGTCCAGAGTTATCTGAATGACTGAGTCCTGAAAGCCACACGGGCTGTGGACCTGCTTGAGATTTCAGATCATTTTGTTGATGTTTTCTGATACAAAACGAAAAAGGTCACCTTTGCTTGATCTACTTTGCGTGTTGAATTCATGCAGCTGTTTGAATAAAGGATCACCCTTAGAAGGGGAGAGGCAGTGGGGCGGAGGTGAGATCTCGGGGACTGCTCCTCTGCGCTGTCTCCCTCACAGGCTGTCTGTCAGGGAGACACTATAACTCATCTCCTTTTCTCTTTTCCTAACAGAAAATTCTTAACCTGAAGTCAGACGAGCACATCTTTAAATTTCTGAAGGCCAAGTTTGGGTTTGGAGCCACCAGGTATGACTGGCTTCAGACTGCCTGCTGTTTATCCTGAAGCCCAAAGCCTTCCCCTCTCCCCTGCGTCTCCTTGCCTCGGCTCGGGTGTGACATCCCCTGCCTCCCTTCTTCCCCAGGGACTTCGATGCGAATCTCTACCTATGTGAAGAAGCCTTCGGCCTCCTGCCTCTCAACACATTCCAGAGGCTCTCGGAGACACTGCTGTTTTACGCATACGTGTTCGTCTTGTTGGTCACAGTGATCACGGCTTCGGTGGTTGCCTTTCATAACCTCAGGTAGGCCTTCTTAACGCTCCTGCTTTAGTGACGTTGTTCTGGACGGGAGCTGGGGGAGGGAGGGAGGGTGAAAATGCGAACGGAATGGCGGCGAACACAGCGGGAGATGAACACACCTCTTCATCTTCAAAAGTGTATGCAGTGCAGCGTGGGCTGCGGCCCTGTCCGGCCGGCATGCTTGGGTGCCCATCTCTGGAGAGTTGGGTGACCCGCAGGTTCTTCTATCTCCTTTCATGTAAAGAAGCTCTTCGGTGAGGCTGCTGTGTAACAGTGTGAAAAACCACAGTAAGTACCGGAAGTAGTGTCTCATGCCAAGACCCTTTCGTGGGCGTTATCTGTCACTAGCCGATGCTGCTGCTGTCAGGTCACAAGTCTGGCGTGGTTTTAATGATTAGTTCCCTGGGACTTTTTTCTTTCTTCCTCTAGATTAGACACATGCAGCCTGGGTCCGGCTACCAGTGAGAGTTATAATGTAGCACCATACAAAATAGTGAAATGACTGAAAATGTGGGGGGTGGGAGGGGTGTTTTGTTTGTGTGTATGATTTTTTTTTTCCCCCGGTAACTCCATCACATGGTTCTCAAGTGAGAACTTTGTACACAGTGACAAAGGCCTGTAAGCCTAGCTACTCAGGAGGCCGAGGCAGGAGGGTCACAAGTTCAAGGCCACCCTACACTAAAATGAGTTCAGGGACAATGTGAACAACTTAGGCCCTGTTTCAAAATAACAAGGGAAAATTAGGTCCAGACAAGTGGCCCAGTGGTATATCACTTGTCTAGCATGCCTTAGGCCCTGGGTTTGATTCCCGGTACCAGAAGAATAGTTATTGTTGGTTTGTTCCCTCGGGTCTCATTTGAAAGCTCATAAAGTTGGTATGGACCATAATTATGAGTGTTTACTGAAACTTTTATGTACTCATGCCTGTGTTTAAGACTTAGCACATCTCCCCGCTACAGAAGAAATCATCAGGGAGCACGAAGGTTTTTTGGAAGACTCATAGAATACTTCCCTCCATGCTGATGGGTTTTACATTTACAATCCACGTTTCATTGAAAGAAAATTAAAAAGTTGACTCAACTGTCATTTGTGAGAGCTTAATGGAGTTCTCAGGGAAGCCCCTTCTCGGTGTAGTTCCATGGCTACTTAAAATGCTGGTGAACTGTGATTCCCAGTCACAAGAACTGTGGTAAGAGTGAGTCCAGATCACTGCAGCCTTGTGGTTACTAAGAATAAAGCAGGGCCTGAGAGATGGCTCAGCGGATACGGGCGCTTGCTGCTCTTCCAGAAGACCTGAGTTCTCAGCACCCGTGGTGGGTGGCTCACAGCCTCCTGTGATACCAGTTCCAGGGGTCCTCACACACAGACACATAGATAGAAATCTTCTTGAGAAAGAAACTATGAAAATACTTCATCTGTTATAAACTGGCTCAAGAAAAACCTTAGCCCCCTGGAACAGGAAAGTTCTTCTAGATGGCACAATTAGTGTGACTAAAGAGACACAGGTGTGAAGACAGGACAGAGCCCAGACTGTCCAGAGCAAGGACAGAGTCTGCTGGGGTCACCGTGAGTCTGGAGGCTGGCCTGCCATATGGTTGTAAATGAAGGCAATAGAGCAGTGGTTCTCAACCTTCCCAATGCTGCGACCCTTTAATACAGTTCCTCATGCTGTGCTGACCCCATCACAAAGTTATTTTCTTACTTCATAACTATAATTTGAATATCTGATATGCAGGATATCTGAGATGTAACCCCTGTGAAAGGGTCATTGGACCCCCAAAGGGCTTGCGGCCCACAGGTTGAGAACTGCAGCATTAGAGGGTCCTCATCTACCTGTTAGAAGTTTCAGGAGGTTTTCAAGGAAAAGCACTATGTTAATTAAAGAATGGTAGTTTCTTAATGTGTGCTGACTAGTGGTCAAAGGGTGATTCTTTTTTTTTTAATGTTTATTTACTTTTATTTAATGTGTATGTGTATTGTGCCTATATAACATGCTTGCAGTACCCTCAGAGGCTAGAAGAGGGTGTTAGGTCCTCTGGAACTGGAGTTACAGACAGTTGTGAGTTGCCGTGTGGGTGCTGGGAATTGAACCCAGATCCTCTGGAAGAGCAGCCAGTGCTCTTAACTGCTGAGCCATCTCTCCAATTAGAAATTAGCAAACCTCTAATTTTCCTTTTAAATGTTTTAAAACCGGGGCCAGAGAGATTGATCAGAAGTTAAAAGACTGGTTCAATTTCCAGTGTGCACATGGTGGCTCACAGCCAATCCCAGAAGATCCATTGCCCTCTTTTGGATTCCAAGGGCCCCAGACACACACGTGGTACACACACATGGTACACACACATACACGCAGACAAAACACCCGTACATATAAAATAAAAACAAAAAGGATTGAGAAACAGTTCCTGCAGCTGGACCTGGTGGTGCACACCTGTAATCCCAGCACTCTGAAACTGAAGCAGGAGAACTAACGAGTTCAAATCCAGCTGGAGCTACGTAGTAAGACCCCGTTCAAAAATAAGTAAGTAAAGAAAATACATGGATAAATAAGAACACAGTTAAATGATATTAAGAGTTAGTGTTTTTTCTACTGGGTGTTTAACATTCACACTGTCCAATTGTGTAACTGGAGCATCGTTTTAATAATAATAACATTCATCTATTGGATATAAATAATGAGGCATTGGTAGGTGAAATGCCCCTTGATCCATTGACTGAATTAAAAATTCATAGATAAATAAATATATATGTCCTGGAACTCACTCTGTAGAACATGCTGGCCTTGGCCTTGAATTCAGAGGCTAGAAGAGGGTGTTAGGTCCTCTGGAACTGGAGTTACAGACATTTCAGGCATCTCCAGAGGATTTATTCCTGTTATTCTTGAAAGAATTGAATCTGTTTACATTTTTATTTAAAATCTTCTGTGAAATTGCAGTTGCTTAATTGCTGATGCATTTACATTATGACATCAAGTCTCAAATCCCACACTGATGGATGCCGCCGATTCGTTCCCTGGTGGGGGAAATAACAAGGTCCACCTAAACCAAAGCCACACATCCGGCTTTGACGTTGCTCGCTTGCTGTTTTCTCTAGTGATTCCGTGAGTCCGCAGCCCGTGGGTCAGACAAGAAAGTGTGCAGTTGACCTGAAACCAGAAGCCGCTTACAACTTAATCCACACCATTCTGTTCGGGGTCCTGGCGCTGAGTACGATGAGGTACTTCCATCTCTGCTGATTTCTTTGATTTAACCTGATGACTCTTTAATTGATGTTGACTAGCAGCAGGATTCAGAGCCTGGCATCACCTTGTTGGTGATTCTGTCCCCATACACCTGCCTTCATGTGTTCTCTTCCCTCTGTGAAATATCACTGCTGGTGTTTTCCTTAGTTGCAAACATTCTCCAATGGCTTACTTACATGAGTGCTCCTAGAAAGTGATGGAATGGATTAGTAACCCTCCGGCCTCTGCGTAGATTGACAGGACAATCTTGCGTGTGGGCGCTTCCCTCCCTGGCCCCCTGGCTTGCTTGCACTGAGCAGGCGCTCGCACAGCAGGCTCTGTGACGTCCTTCTCTCTGCCGTTTCAGGATGAAGTACCTGTGGACCTCCCATATGTGTGTGTTCGCATCGTTTGGCCTGTGCAGCTCTGAGATCTGGGAGTTGCTCCTGAGGCTGGTTCGTCTCTGTAACCCAAAGAGGGTCAGTGCTGTCCTTGTCCATCCAGGTGGAAGTGAGCCATAGAGTTTCTTCTCTGTCAGGGTTTAGTAGGTGCCAGGTGTCATGTAGAGTAGGTACAAAATCTGGATTGTTGCTGTTGCTTTGTTTTTGAGACAGGGTTTCTCTGTGTAGCCCTAACTGTCCTAGAACTTGTTCTGTAGACTAGACCAGCCTTGAATTCACTGAGAGATCCACCTGCCTCCCAAGTGCTGGGATTAAAGGCGTGCGCCACCACTGCCTGGCCCTGTCAATTATATTTTTGAGTCACTTACATTTCTACATGTCAGATATGTTCACTATACACAGAACTTAGGAATGCAGTAAAAAACAAAAAAAGCAAAATTAAAACTCGCCAGTAGTTCCATTGTCCAGAATTGCAGTTGTTACTATAAGCCATTTTCCTAAAGATCATTTACTGGCATCTCCAGGATAGAGCTGGGCAGCCCGTAGCCATGAACCGCTCTGCCCTCTCTGCGTTCATTAGGTGGCAGGGTGCCTCACTCAGCTCACTTTGACAGACAGGAGACCGACACTTCGTTCAGTTTGTTTGATTTTGTTGCTGTCTTCAAATGGTGTGTGTGAACAAAGCCGGACTGGGAGGCCGGAGAGTCCAGAGAGATGTGATCTTACCAGAGTCTTTGTCCACAGATCTGGGTCATGCGGTATTCGGTGCCCATAGTCACCCTGCTGTACCTGTGCTGTAAGGTAAGGCCGACTCACTCCCTCTTTGTGTGGAAGCATTCTTTGTTTGTGGCGTTGGAAAAGACTTCCTTTGAATCTTGTCGAGTGGCCATTGATAGGAAAAACGGTCTTTAAAAACTTGGAGTTTTTAGGGGTCAAGCCTTATAATATGAAAACCATTCATAAAAGAGGGAAAAAAAACAAACAAACAAACTTAGAAAAAGTCATTCCTTTAGTTTCAGCTCTTACTGGAAGCAGATTCTGAATGTTTTCAGACCTATTTTGAAACAAATAAGGCAGGAAAAATTGGTTTATGTAGAGAGAGAGGTTTTAAGATAGCACCAACGTTAACCTGTACATTTCATTAAATGCTTTCACGGGAGCTGGACACATGGAATAAACACTGTAGTTCGTCTCTGGGGCCAGGTGTGGTGGTACCGACAGTAATCTCAACGCTGAGAGTCTGGGTTGGGAGCATACAGCCTTCAGAGCCAGCCTGGGCTTCACAGTGAGACCTAAAAAAAAAGACAAGGAAGGAAAAATCGACCCTCTCCCCACCCCGAAGACACTGTAGTGATGTGGAGAAAAATGTCGTAGTCTCCTTTAACTGACGTGAAAGGGCCAGGGCACCCCTCAGAGACACTGTCATCAATCATTTTTCCACTTGGTGATTCATTTGTTATGTCTTTGAGATTTGTAGGCCTGGGAAAATAGCACAGAATACTTAATCCAACTGAACTCTCTGTCTCTCTCTCTGTCTCTCTCTGTCTCTGTCTCTCTGTCTCTCTCTGTCTCTCTCTCTCTCTCTCTCTCTCTCTCTCTCTCTCTCTCTCTCTCTCTCTCTCTGTAGACCAGGCTGGCCTCACACTCACAGAGATCCGCCTGGCTCTGTGTGTGTGTGTGTGTGTGTGTGTGTGTCCCCGAGTGCTGGGATTAAAGGTGTGCACCACCATCCAGCTCTCTTGCCCTTTCTTAAACCAAAACCAAACTCAAACAAAACAAACACACTTTTGATATTTGTATGTGCGTTTTAAGTTAGAGCAGTGGACTGGAGGTTACTGTGCAGAGGCCCTGATTTGGCAGGGTGTTCCAGAGAGAGTCTGCCCGCAGCTCGGCCTCCAGACGGGCCTGCTTCTACTGTAACATGAGTGATTGTGAACAAAAGACTTCACGCTTGGGAACTGCACCTGATAGTTCGTGTCCTGTCAGAGCAGCTGCCCTTACAGGCAGCACCCACCAGCCCCCGGAATTTTATTCTTGGATGTAAATAAGTGAAACAAGGTAAATGTTTAATAAGCAGCTTGGCAGCGTCACCTTAACATGGAATTATGAGGGTTAAACCCCTGCAAGCTCAGCATTGTTCTGTTACTACAGCTGTGGAAACAGGACTGTATGGGAGCAAGGACTGACTCTTTCTGTGTGTGTGTGTATAGATGCATATGCACATGTGTGTGTATGTACATTTGAGTGTGTGTGTGCCTGTCTGTATGCATGTGTATGTGTCTACGTGTATATGTGTGCATATGTGTATGAGTGTATGTGTATGTGGGGGTGTGAGTGTAGGCTGAATTCTCCACTACTTGTTGAAATTTGATGAATTATTTTAAGCTGGTTAAGGACTAGGTGATAAGATTGAGGAAGGGTTTAGGGAGCAAATAAAGCATGCTCTAGAGCTTTGGCTCTTACACATGGTCCCCAGGCAGGCAGAAGTGTCAGCAGCAGTGAACTAGGAAATTCAAGATATGCATTGCACTCCAGACTCACCAAGTCAGAAGCTCATGCTCAGCCTTGGTGAGGATTCGGAAAGCATCGGGTTTGGGAGACCATGTCCTGGGGGCACTGACTGCAGATGGTGTAGCAAAGGGCCAACTTTCTATGTCCTTTGATGCTGATCTCCCCGCAACAGCCAGTCATTTCCCTACACATTGCTATACCAAGCCCCGCCTGGTGGGAGCAAAGTCCCCTCCTCTCCAGAACCACTGCTGTGGGGACCAGTGGAAGAACTGGAAAGGCCACCACTGCCAGCAACAGCCAGCAGTGGTCCTGGGGTGAGAGAATTGGGATTCTGATGAGTTTCTCAAGACTGTTGCTCAGACCTTGGGCAGATAGCAGGAAGCTTCTACTCACACTGTACAAAATCCTTGAGCTACTTTATCTCAAATATGCAAAGTAAAACCAGGCGTTGTGGCACATGACTTCAATCCCAGCAGAGGCTCTGTGAGATCGAGGCCAGCCTGGTCTACAGAGCTAGATCCAGGACAGCCAGGGCTACTCAGAGAAACCCTGTCTCAAAAAAAAGATATATATATATATACATGTATATATGTATATATATGTATATGTATACATATATGTATGTATGTATGTATATATTAAAATCAGAGAAAATGAACAATATAGACATTAGGAGTTTTTCCCTGACACTAAGACTCTTTTCCGTCTGTGCCAACTGTTAAGCTTTTCTGTCAGTGATGTAGCTGTTCGAACGAAGCCTGGCTTGAGTTTCGCTGGCAGTTATAATGTGGGTTCTTTCTTCTAGGATAATCCCATTCAAAGGGAAAAGCATGTGCTAGGCTCCTCAGAACCAGAGATTAAAAGCATTTACTCTGGTCTCAATTAGCTTATTGGATTGTCAAATCCCAGCTAGTCTATTGCATTCTGTTAAAAGGTGACATTTAGTTTTTATTTGCATATTATTTAAGGAGTTTCCCTCAGGACGCATTAGATGTTTAACATTCTTTCAGTATCAGCAATTTTAAAATTAGAAAAATATCCAATACCCATTGAATTCACAGATATACCAAAATAATTGGATTATTTTATTAGATAAATGTTGGTATTTTGTTGATTGTCAAGTAACAGGGACAACACATTTGATCTCTAAAATACTTAGAGTGAGTCAGGAATTTAGGCTAGCCTGGGCTACATAGTGAGACGCTGTCTCAAAACAACAAAAATAAGAATTAACAGAGGAAGTGGTGCTTGGTCCACCATCATTTGAGAATAATTAAGATTTAATTGATTAATGGACTAGATTAGTGATGGAGAGGAAGGTTATTTTTACATTGTGTCTGCATAACCTGAAGTGACATGAGTTGACCAATGGCATAAATAACAAAGTCAAATATATTAGATTCTCCTGGAGAGTCCGGTTTCCAACCATTTTTCCCCACGGTGCCAGCGTTTCTATTACTGTGTATCAAGCCATTTGCCCAGAATTCTAGCAGCAGAATAGAGTCATGACACTAACAAGCAGGGGGCTCGTTTAGAACCTGTTTAGAAGCAGGTTCTGGGGCACAGCTCTGCTGCTTTTGAGCCTGGTTGAGTCAGCCACCTCCCCAAGCCATAGTTTCCATCCTGAGAAACAATCTGATGGTGATGTTCCCGCTGCGCCATCTGTCTTGTGAGTTAGGTGAGGACAGGATGGTATTCTGCTTGGGAAGCCTTTCATGTGTGTGTGTGTGTGTGTGTGTGTGTGTGTGTGTGTGTGTGTGTGTGTGTGTGTGTGTGTGTGTGTGTGTGTGTGTGTGTGTGTTTTGTATGTGTGTGTGCCAGAAGAGGACAGCAGATCCTCTGGAACTGGAGTTACAGTCTGCTGTGACCTACCATGTGGGTGCTGAGAACTGAACCCAGATTCTCCCTGCAAAAGCAGGAAATGCTCTTAGTCACTGAGCCATCCGTCCAGATCCAACAGTAGCCTTTTATTTTCAAAGCAGCATAAAAATCTGTATGTAAAAGCTAACAGAGCCTCTGACTCCATTAGCTTCAGCAGGGATGATTCTGGAACTTTGCAAGGTAAAGCGATTCTGGTTGCAGTTGCCATTTCTGTTTGGCTCCTGAGTACATGATACACAGTTTCTCTGTCTCTGTTGTTTACTCTTGGTGACAGTTGCAGGGGTTCATTTTTGTTTTTGGTTTCAGTCCTGGCCAGGAATGATGGATGAACTCTCGGAGTTGAAAGAGTTCTATGACCCAGATACAGTGGAACTCATGGACTGGATTAGGTAAGAGGAACTTCTCAAGTTTAAAACAGAATGCCTTTCTGAAGTCAACTGTAGATCTCATACATCTGGGGGAGAGAGTTGTTTATTTTCTTTTTTTTTTTTAATATTTTATTTATTTATTGTGTATACAGTGTTCTGCTTGCATGTATGTCTGCAGGCCAGACAAGGGCACCAGATCTCATTTTGGATGGTTGTAAGCCATCATGTGGTTGCTGGGAGTTGAACTCAGGACCTCTGGAAGAGCAGTCAGTGCTCTTAACCACTGAGCCATCTCCCCAGCCCTGTTTATTTTCTAATTGTGAAGAACCATCCTTTTTCTTTTTTTTTGATCAAACTTTTCTTTAATACTCTGAATTTGGAAGAAACTCTTCCTAGCTGGGTGCAATGTCACACACCTGTGGCCCCAGCACTGAGGCAGAGGCAGAGGCAGAGGCTGTGAGTTCAAGGCCAGTCTAGGCCACATAGTGGGACCCTGTCTCTAAAAAACAAAAGGATTCTCTGCAGCTACATCCCCTGAGGGAAAGGAAGTACTCATTTGAAGTGGGAAACAGGATCAAAAAATAAACTCCTGACACTGACAGAAGGCAGAGTGGGATTTTATTTACCCATGAGGCTCAGTACTTGAGAGCATGCACTGACTGCTCATGCAGAGGACCCTGGTTCAGTTCCCAACATCTGCACCTGGTAGTTCACAACCAGGTTGGACTCTAGTTTCAGGACCTCTGACCCTCACTCTGGCCTCCCAAGCAGCTGCATTCACATGCACACACCCCACATGGATGTACACACACAGGTTTAAAAACAAACACACCACCTTTTACTTTATTTAACTCTCATTAAAGCTTAGTTTCTTCTTTTTGCTGATTTTATCTTTATTATTTCCATCTGAATCCTGTTCAGATTTGCTGTTAATGCTGACACACACATGAAAGTGTCCTTTCCTTGGAAGTTTTAAATTAAAGCTCACTGCAGGCTTCATGAGACTCATCCCATTGCTTATGTTCTTACTTTACAGAAAAATGTATTTATTTTCGTTTAAAACATTTTCTTTAGCCAGGCATAGTGGCGCATGCCTTTAATCCCAGCACCAGGGAGGTAGAGGCAGGTGGATATCTGAGATCAAGGCTAACCTGGTCTACACAGAGAGCTCTGGGATAGCCAGGGCTACAGAGAGAGAGACCCTGTTTCAAATTTTTAAAATTAATTAATTAAAAAATAAAACACGGGGTTGGGGATTTAGCTCAGTGGTAGAGCGCTTGCCTAGCAAGCTCAAAGCCCTGGGTTCGATCCTCAGCTCCAAAAAAAAAAAAAAGAAAGAAAGAAAGAAAAAATAAAACACTTTCTTTTTTCCCCCTCCCCACCCCCCAAACAGGGTTTCTCTGTATAGCTCTGGCTGTCCGGGAACTCCCTCCGTAGACCAGGCTGTCCTCGAACTCAGAGATCCGCTTGCCTCTCTTACCCAAGTGCTGGTTAAAAGTGTGCACCACCACCACCCAGCAAACATTTTCCTTTTTAAAATCATTTTAATTATATTCTTACGTGTATGGGTGTTTTGCCTGCATGTGTGTCTGGTACCCTGGATGGTTGTGAGCCGTCATGTGTGTCCTGGAAATTGAACCCAGGTCCTCTGAAAGAGTAGCCAGTGCTCTTAACCATTAAGCCATCTCTCCAGCCCATAGAGAAGGTTTTCAGTACATTGGAATGCCCTAGCATGATATTGCTTTCTTTTTCTTTTTCCTTCTTTTTTTTTTTTTTTTTTTTTTTTTTTTTTTTTTTTTTTGCCTGAACGTGGTTGCTTTACCTCAACCTCCAGCCTCAGAATGAAGCTTGTGTGTTTCAAAGTTTTGTTCAGAAACCCTGACTCTCACTGGCAAAGACAAACTTCTGTACCTAACAGCGTGCTCATGCTCTGTAGAGTGAGCGCTCCTGCTTTGTAAGTAGGAGTCACCTGTCTGGCACACACGTTAGTCTTGAAGACATCGTCCACTGTCTCCATCCCTTAGGAGTTTAGCAGCAGCCTCATGGGTCCCTGCCTCAATTAGTGCTTACTGGCCATACCAGTTAGTACTGCTCCAGGTGAAGAGATGACAACTGCTTGCTGCTTGGGTCTCCTGAGCACCGTGCATGGGTTTATAGAGACTTAAGTCTAAGTATCTGTGTGGCTTTGGTCTCAGTATCCAACTGGATTTGACTGGACAGGAGTGTAATTTTTGACATGTTTCTCGGGGGAAGAGGGCAGCACTTTGCCCTTATTAACTTTAAATCATGATGGGTAATATTGGAGTAAACAATTCTTTCAGTATTTATTGTAAATAGGGAAAGATTATTTATACATATAAAGAGAAGCTAATTCCTTTTGTACTAACTAATTGATTAGATATTTATAACATGTTTCATCTGAAAGCGAGGCTGGTCCTCTCTGTATTTTTTAAGGATTTATTTTATCTTTGTTATGTGCATGTGGGGATGTGTACTTATGTGGGGGTCTCTACAGACTCTAGAAAGGGTGTCAGATCCCCCAAAGCTAAAGTTGTAGGGCATTGTGAGCCAGCCACCGTGGGGGCTGGGAACTGAGCTCAGGTGCTCTGAAAGAGGAGCAAATGCTCTGAGTCCGAGCCTCTTCTCCAGCACCGGTCCTCTGTATTTTTAAGATGACTCTGTTGAAGGCAGTGCCATAGACTGCGTCTTGTAGATGGCGGCTCTCCTCTCTGGGACACCCTTACCACCTCCACCTGTGATCCATGGCTTGCAGAAGCTAATTAAGTTCCTCCCTGCTGGGGACTGGCCTTGGCATCCTAGAGCCCCTTCAGCTAACGGCAGCTTTGAGGCATACTCGAGTACTTTGACTTATTAGCTGGTTGGCTTCTTCTTCTTCATTTCATGCTCAGCAACTGAAAGATTCATATTGTTCTAAAAATATTGCTTCGTTACATTGTCATCTAATCTTGCCTGTTTTCCCTGAAAATTCCTCAAATCAAAATGATTTTTTTTTTTTTTTTGGTAAAAAAAAATAGCTGCTTGGCATGTTTGTAAATTAAGCTTAAGTGATGATGAATGTATGCCAAAGTAGGGTCTATTTAGACACAAAATATGTTTGTTTAAATCAACATTCAAATCAGCTGTGGTCGGCAGGCTTCGAGTCTCACTGTAAGGGAGTACATTTAATATTCTTATTGTTTTTTAGTACTAGAGGTTGAACCTAGGGCTTCACACATGCCAGGTAAGCATCAGTCAACTGCTGAGTACCATCCCCAGACCTCTTTTTACTTTTTATTTTGAGGTAGGGTCTCACAAAGTTGCCCAGGCTGGCCTTGAGCTCACTATAGCCCAAGCTAGGCCTTGAACTTTGAGCCTCCTGCCTCAGCCTCCCCATAGCCAGACTTACAGGCCTGTGCCACCATATCCCACTTTAGTAGTCTTTCAACATTCCTATTTCTCCAGTCGACTTTGGCTCCCCTGTAGAGATTGGTCACAGGGTGTGTGTTTGCTGCCAGGAGAGAAGACTGCAGCTGGGGACCCAGCGCATCACTGACGACGGGTACCTGCACTCTTACATCCTGACTGCAGCTGGGGACCCAGCGCGTCACTGACGACGGGTACCTGCACTCTTACCAGCTGGAGCAAGGGGAGACACTCGGGTTCAAGATGGCTAGCCTTAGGATGACATGCAAAAACCCAGGGACACATCCAGTTGTCTCCCATGTTAGTGTAAGAAGTTCTATCACACTACTCTGTTTCAGAGTGTGGAGAGGAGGCTTACCCATCAGTCGGTCACCACCGTCCCACCCCCACCCCTCAGGCTCTGCGGGAGCCCCACACCTGCTCTGGGCTTCACTGCTGAACTGCAGGGCCATGGAGGTCAGGGATTCCTGCAGGTTGACTGAGGACGCAGTGGAAGATGCCATTGCCTTGGTGGGAGTTAGTGATTGTCCCATCTTTGAAAGGAGCCCAGCTGTGGTTTTCCAGGAGAGAACCTCAAACACGATAGTACTCCTGAAGGAGCTGAAGGGGCTGGAGTCCTGTGAAAGCTCTGGAAGCCTTGAAGTTACCAAGCTTCTCACACTGAAGTTATATGCTGATTGGTACAGTTCAGTAGCTTCTACATGAGCACCAGCTGTGCGCACACAGGACACCAGGGGACACGTGAACACTGGCGGCTGTCCATTACACTGCCCCTTCATCGAAGCAATGGGTCTCTCTGCCGGCCCTGCTGACTGTGTGTTCCCCATGTTCTTTTTTTAAATTGATTGATTGATTGATTGATTGATTGATTTTTAGAGACAGGGTTTCTCTGTGTAGCTCTGGCTGTCCTGGATCTCGCTCTGTAGACCAGGCTGGCCTCGAACTCACAGAGATCCGCCTGCCTCTGCCTCCTGAGTGCTGGGATTAAAGGTGTGTGCCATGCAGTTCTCCATGGTCTTACTTCACCCAGCCTCACAGCTTGTAGA